TAGGGTACAAATAAGCAATCAGGAAACCATCAATATCAATATAAATTGTAAGGATACAAGCAACAAAATTACAGTCATAATTGGGAGGAGATGGATGATAGGAACGATGAGAAGACTACTAGTAATAGTAATGCAGCCTTAGTGAATAGTTTGAGGTTTTTGGAAACACAAATGTTTTACTCTTAATTTTAATGGGGAAAAGGCCACAAGAACTGCAAACTTGCACTCGCACTGCAGACTTACTGTATGTAGTTGTGAACAAAAGTCAGGTGAAATGGCATGTGAGAAAGCCCTTGGTAGACAGGAAGAAGAGCCTCAGATCAGACAAACATCAGGTAAAATATAGCTGAGCCCACAGAAGAGAAGAGACTGGGAAGCAGCTAGTTTTCCAAAGAGTACAAGGAAAAGAAGGGAGAAATACTTTTAGGCTTGCAAGATTGTGTTAATGAATCTTTACAATAAACATAGAGTTAGCACTCATAGCTGTGCTTCCTATCTGGACCACCTTGAACAGGTCCATTTGTTTCCCCCATGAGTTTCAAAGATCGGTATGAAACAAGTGTACTTAATTATTGATTAAACTTTCTTCTTGGAGCTTAACACTCCCTTTTCTGGTGTTTCCTCAACAACAAGCTTGCGAGGTAGATTGGGCTAAGAGAAGACATTGGGCTACTTCTCTTAAGAGTAGATTTGAACCCAGGCTTCCCAAATCGTCATCCGAGATTGCAACTGCTCTTATTGCAAGACTTATTCAGACAAATGTACTCCCATAGAAAGAAGAGGCAGGGGAAAATAATTCTAGATCAATACTAGGTCAAATTTTTTCTCAATCCAGCCTCATAAAAAATTTACAGAGGAATACTTTAAAAAAAGAGGGAGAAAGAAAAAGGTTAATCTCACTTTAAAAAAAGTTAAAATCATAGCCACCAGAAAGAATTACTTGAAAATCCAGCATTTCCAACCCTTTGCGCAGGGCGAGAATGGCGAGGGGGATGGGAAGCTAGTGAGAAGTCGCACTCTAGGAAAACATGTGTGAACAGGCAAAGAAGGATTCCTAGATTTCAAAGAGAGCTGCAGACGGAGAGGCATCCTTGATTGAAAGTTCATCTCACATTAAAGAAAAAAGAAAGAAAAACAGACAAGAGACTTCCAAGCACTTCCACCGAGTGCTTGTTGCATTCCAGTGCAGGCTGCAAGAAATTTTTTTAAACCGGTAGCATTATACGCTGCTTGAAGAGATCCTTGCAGAGCTGCGGATACCCAGTCAGCTCAGGAAAAAGTAGGATATCTTCACTAGGCATGCCAATGAGCCCTGTTTCGTGGCAAAAAAAAAAAAGCATGCTGTTGTGCGGAGTATTTCCTCTGGAGCGTTAGAGCCTTTGCTCACCGAGGGGAATTCCCTCCTCATGCAGCTGCTTGTATTTTTGGCTACCGGCCTTGCTTAGCATCCTGAAATTCTGATTTAGCACTGCTGGTGAAAAGTGAGATGCTCTCGACAGAACATTTCCCCTCTCTCGACGGGGAAAAGCAAGCAAAGATGCCTCCATTTGCAAGCTTGTGAAGATGAGGAGATAGTAAAAACTCCATTGAAAAATATCTTTGTTTCTCCACGCAAAGGGGGGTGGGATGGGGTGGAAGGAAAGAGTAGATTTTCTTCCCAAGCTTACGGAAATGGAGAAAAGCAGCATAGTTTGTTTGCTTGCATTGGTTCCTTCAATTTCTTTTCCAGAGTTAACAAAACAAAACAAAAAAATTCCTCCCACGTGAGGAGGAATTTAAGATCCATTATTAATAAATGCCAATGAAGAATAGGTGGATAGTTTATTACCCTTATGACCATATCGAATGAAAAAAAACCCAATGAAAACCCAAAAGAATCTGATAACGATCCTCTAAAAATAGCCGACTTAAACCCCTATAAGAAGCTTACAAACTTAAAATACAAGCTGTTATCAGAGATCAGAAAACTGTAGCAGTTCAGCTGAGTGCTTCAGTCAGACCTACTGTGCTTTGAAGCTGGAATCTAGAATTTAAAAGATGTGACACCCTGCTTATCTCCTTTGTGAGCAGGGGGTTGGACTAGAAGACCTCCAAGATCCCTTCCAACTCTGTTATTCTGTTATCTTTTTTGCTTTGGACACTGCTTCTCAAATGCTGTCGTTGTTGATGACACACAACCAATGTAGCTATGGCACTTTCTAAGGCCTTTTGAGTTCTGTAGTCAGAATAAATCTATTGAACAAATGTTTATGGCTGCCCAGCTCATACATCAGTGACTCTGGGTGGTTTACAACATTAAAACTCCACAACATAAAAACCCATACAACCTCACCCTGCTCCTTAGGTGTACTTGGCACTTTCTATCCTATAATCTGCATAATTTGACCATCTTTGAGATTCTTCCACACCAATGATTTTCAATAGGATTTCTTCTGCAATGAATCCAGAACTAGAAACAACTCTTGGTATCCTCAGCTATTTACTCAGGGCAACCCTATCCTGCCATTTCTTTATTCTACCTAGCAGAGGGGTCGGCAACCTTAAACACTCAAAGAGGCACAAAGGTCCTAACCGGAAGCCCCCTGTTCAGTTCTGGAACTGAACGGAAAACCCACCCCTTGCCATAAAGTCTCCTCCAGGCACACCATGCTACCCCCCCCAAACCGGAAGCTCCTCTCAAAATTGTGGTGCCAACTGGCGACAGGGAGCCGCAGCAGAAGGATGAAAGAGCCACATGCAGCTCCAGAGCTGCAGGTTGCTGACCCCTGTCCTAGTGCAATACTGATGGATCTGCCATCTTGGTAACTTCCCACAATGCCCTTGATTGGATAATAATGTGGGGGATTTGGGGAAATGAAGGGGAAGAGAGGAGCAACTTTCTGTTGCTTTCTGTTGCTTATTTATATGATACTGAACAGAAGGGCCAGCAAAGGACTCTGCAACTGAAAATCTTGAAGCCCAAAGTGTGAAGGGTAATTGACCCCATAATCTCTTGCGGGGTGGAGGCTGGGTACCTAAATGGAGCTAGCAGAGTGTTTTAATGGCCGGATGCCCTTCCTGTCACCAATGCAGAGCTTTGTTCAGCAGATATATTCCCAGTGTGCCCAGAGAGAGAAAAATATCTGCCTCTACCTAGGGGTAATTGTATTATGAGTTCCTGCAGGAGCTCAACAGGGCATACTGTTGATGTACTCAAGAATTTCCAACTAGACCCCATTGGGCGTGGGAAGGGCTAAGCTAAGAAGATTGTCTAGCATAGTTATATCATTGGTTTCCAATAAGGGTGATTCTTTGCCATCAAATAAATGACAAATGAATGATTCAAGAATGATCAGGAAAGTTTCCAGTTGCAGTATTCTGCCTTTCATGGCAGAATTGTTCCAACCAGATTTTATATTTTTTTGCAATTGCCCTGGGAAGAGTTAGGGAGCCCCAAACAATTTATTTTACTGGCTTCAATTATAAGCTGCTCTAATTCAAACATGACAGTGGCTTATAAGGTAATACAAATGTAGTGCCATATTAAAACCAATTGCAACCTAAAAGGACTGTGCTCCCAGGAACAGCCATCAGCCTCCAAGCTCATGTTTCAAAAGAATTTGGGCATCCGTGGCTGCATTGATAAATGAAAGACTACCCTTTTGAACCCAAGGAATGGTAGTGGCATCCTTGTTTCTCTAATTGTTTGTCTCCATTGATGCATCTCAGGAAAGTTAACTTTCAGAGTGTGGGAAGCACCCCTCCTAGAAGAATGAAATATTTTGGTGAAATATTAAAAAGGCAGAATATTCTATTGCCCTGAATGAGAAATAGAGAAGCTCTTAAAAGCCAGAAAAATAGACTCGGTTTCCCTCCCCCCAAGAAACTGAGGCCATCTTTTAAAAATGCTGATTTGGTAATCCATTCAAGACAGGATTAAAACCCCAAAGAAATCAGCATCTAGGATTAATTACTGTATTTTCCAGGGTATAAGACGCACTTTTCCCTCCCAAAAGAGGGTGAAAATTTGGGTGCAACTTATACACTGAATGTAGCCAAAAATGTGAGGCATGGAGGAGCCGATGGTCTGTGGCAATCCTTGCAGCCTGGAACAGCTGATTTGGGGTATTCTGGGAGGCCGATCCACCCGCCAATCAGCTGCTCATGCTGAATCAGGGTGCAATAATGTGCTGAAGCTGACCTGACTGTTTGCTATTTGCTGCAAGGACATGTCAGAGTTCGCAGCAGCAATCACATTCAGAAAGCACACACAGCTTCAGCAGGATTCAATAACTTCTCCTTATATATAACTCATTAAGCAGGTTTTCCAATGTGGTAGTTTAGCAGAGAAATTTCACTTTCAGTTTTAGTTTCAGATATCAGCACAGCAAGCAGCTTTAGTACAGAACAAGCCACACCCAGGCTCCTTGCTGTCTCCTTCCTTGTTGCTCACACAGCAAATACTGTTTGTTTCCTAACAGCTATCAACTCTCTCACACACTGACAGGATGCTAGCCAGATGAATACCATGGATGCTGGTAGGCAGAGGCAGATTCATTTCTTATTTTCCTCCCCAAAATCTAAGGTGCATCTTACACTCCTATGCGTCTTATAGTCCCAAAAATATGGTATATTTGTTAAACAAGATTTAAAATCCAAGGAAGCCAGCCCTTTAGACTCATTGCCAGCCTTCGTGAGACACACTAATTAAAATCAAATAAGAAAATGCACAAAACAAGTCTCTAAATTACAAAATGCTGTAGAACGAACTGTATAAAAATCCATGCACTCGTCAAACCAATTGGTCAGCAGCCGAGCCAGGGCTGCTGGTGATTCTGTTCACCACTAAACCATCTTTCCCATCAGGCTCCATGTTTCCAGTGTCTTTCTCCCAGCTTGGAACTGAACCAGATGGATATTTCTTCCAACCAAGAATCCATAAGACCGAGAAAGATCCCCCCTCCAAAATGCCTATGGGAGGTGAAGCCTGGTGGCTAACCCCGTTCTCAACCTTCTTCCAGATTACATCTTTGTCATTCCTGTCGAGGTGGACTCCAGCGGATCCTATCTCTCGCATGACATTTGGCACAGCGCCAGGAGGAAGAGATCCACCGTGAGCTCAAAAGCTTCCTTGCACTATAGATTTTCAGCCTTTGGAGAGGAACTGCATCTCGAGCTGAAGCCCTCGGACTTTCTGAGCCATAATGTGACTGTCCAGGTGCTTGGGAAAGATGGCATTGAAGATTCTCAGGTTCGTGACATTGAGCAGTGTTTCTATCAGGGATTTATAAGGAACTACAGTTCTTCTTCCGTTGCCATATCCACGTGCACAGGTTTGGTAAGTGTTATGTGTTGTTGCTCGGTTTTCAGACTTGTACTACGCTTGTTCTCTCCTGTTAGCTTAAGGTTGATTTAAAGTTGCCTGCCACTGCCCACAGCTGTTGCTTCCTACCTATGCTGCTAAGTCCCCAAGGTGCTTTCTCAAAAGGCAACTGGGCTTTCTTGATTTTTTTCCCCCTTGAAAATGTTTCGCAACTCATCCAAGAAGCTTCTTCAGTTCTAACTGAAAGAAAAAACAACAACAACGAGAAAGTCCAAGGACTTTGGGAAAGCACTTTTGGGACAACCATGACCTGGATAATTGACACTCTCCATAGAGAGAGGGGTTGATGGGGAAATGTGGGCTGACACAAACACCTTCTAGATCCCATCTGCACATTGTGTGGAGTGTGCATCCTGTATGATGATTGATTGATCTGACTTCTGTGCTTTGCTGTTTAAGTGTCCCCTAGTCAGAACTTTAAGATTCGCAGACATATGGATGCAGAAAATGGATTCTAGGTAACTGTCCGTGAATGACAGATGCATATGTTAATCAAAATCTCGCAACATTTGCCTCCACCCCACCTCACCCTTAATTTTCTCAGCATTCACAGCAAGAGGTTTAGATAGAGATGGTATCACTGCATGATAAACAGTGGTTCTCCAAATTGATTCTTGAGCAGTGGGAACACTTGGAGGACAGATGTTCATCTAAGGGAATTTCTTTTCTGCATCAAATATATCAGATATATGTTTGACACAGTGATGGGCAACACTTTACTAAAATTTCAGGCTTTGGTACTTCTCAGATATCAACTTCTCAGTTTTACTACTCATTTGCCTATACCTAAACGGACACTTATGGAGTGAATTCCAAATATTATAATTAAAAAAAGGAGACTTCCAAAGGCTAACCTCAGATTCAGAGGACTGGGCCTCTGTTCTATAGAAAAGCCCATTGCATTCCCGCTACTGAATCGGTAGTGAAGAAAAGAGGATATCATTACTAGTGAAAACAGCATAAATATAAGTGGCAAGGTGAAACAATGTAATAAAGTACGCAGGAGTACATATGAATGCTCTAATATGGGCTTTAGCCCATATTGAATGCTTCCAATATGGGCTAAAAATTCAGATGACCACTAGGTAGCAACAAAGAATGTAAATCCCACTTTGCTGCCCTCTATTGACATTGGAGAGCAGATTGGTATAGTAATTAAGGTACCAGAGTAGAAACCAGAAACCTATGAGTTCTAGTTCTCCTTTACGTACAAAGCCAACTGGGTGACCTTGAGCCAGTCACTTTCTCTCAGCCCTAGGAAGGAGGTAATAGTAAACCACTTCTTTAAAACCTGCCAAGAAATCTTATGGGTTTGTCTAGGCAGTCTCTAAATTGGACACAATTGAGTGGAAAGAAAAAATATATATGGTGGTTTGGATTCCCCGTCCTCCCCCGGTGCATAACTGGTGATCGTTGCTGCAAGATATTGTCAATGATTTTTGGATGAGGAAACCAGCAGTTTTGTGGTAGATACATCTTTGCGCTTAGGTCTTAGGGTTCAATTTTTGAACATCTGTATGTTCAAGGACAGGAAGGCCTGGAGGAACGTTGTCCATGGGGTTGCAATGGGCGAGACATGACTTCACAACTAACAACAACATGTGCAAGGTTGGTGGACGTGGTGGCTCAGTGGCTAAGACCCTGAGTATGTCAATCAGAAAGGTTGGCAGTTCAGCAGTTTGAATTCCTAGTTCCACATAACAGAGTGAGCTCCTGTTACTTGACCCAGCTTCTGCCAACCTAGCAGTTCGAAAGCAAGTAGAAAATGCAAGTAGAAAAATAGGGACCACCTTTGGTGGGAAGATAGCAGCCTTCTGTGCGCCTTTGGTCTTTAGTCATGCTGGTCACATGACTACAGAGATGTCTTTGGATAGCGCTGGCTCTTCAGCTTTGAAACGGAGATGAGCACTGCCCCCTAGAGTCGGGAACGACTAGCACATATGTGCGAGGGGAGCCTTTACCTTTACCTTATGTGCAACGGTTTTGAATTGTATATATCCAGTCAGTCATTGCTTAGTAACCAAATGAACTGTATCTTGATGTGATGTGTGAAGCCAACCTCTGGTATCAATGTGGTGCTTGTAACTGCCACCATCCATACCTCCTCCTCCCTTTTCCACAATTAGTTTGCCCTATTCATTTTAGTCCTGGCAATTAAACGAACAGTTGCATTGCTTTACATGGTTGGCGGCCCTAATCAACCTGTTGTTCGTTTCATTAGCAGTAGCTTCCCCACAATGCAAGTGCAGTGGCCTATTCTTTCAAGCCCAAAGCATCACGTTGGGATTTGGAAGCAATTGTGTTTTAATAGACGGCAGGGATCCTTTGATCTTGCTTGCTCTGGAGTCTATGTGTGAGCAATTCAGAAAAACCTTTTCCCTCAGCTGCTGCTTTTTGTTGTGCAGAGCTGGCAGTAGATTTGGACAGTGAGGAGGTTGGGGAGGAACATGGGCCAGTCCTGGAGTCTGGGGAAGGCTCTGATGAGGGCTCTGTGTTGGAGGCAGAGAGGGGGCCAGAGCCGTATGCCAGTTATCAGCTGCCTTCAGAGTCAGCTGGAGCCTGTTCCCAGTGTGCGCATGAGCAGAGTTGCCAAGCGAAAGGAACAGCTAAAGAACAGGGGTTGACTTGGGAGTATGGCCACAGGTGAATGATGAATGGCCCCTCCCAGAGGAATTAAAAGAGGAGCAAAAGGGGAGTGGAGTTTGCAGTAGACAATTAGTTTGCTTAATTGGTTCCTGATTCTCTGAGACTCCTTGCCAAGTTTTGCAGATATCGGCCTGTCAGCTCTCCAAGCCAGATAAGGTCTGTGACTGTAAATCCTCCCTTGAAAGACTTTGCTGGATATGAACAAGTAGAACTCATAGTAAATTAATAAATTAATAAAATGACCTCATTCTCTATCATCCCATTCTTCTTTTGCCCTCAATCGTTCTTAGCATCAGGCTCTTCTCCAGTGAGTCCTTCCTTCTCATTAGGTGGCGAAAGTATTTGAGTTTCATCTAGCCTTCTAAAGAGCAGTTAGGGTTGATCTCCTCTAGGACTGAGGTATTTATTTTTGCATGTATTTTAAATGATACATACAAAAATAAAATGTATACTCATTTGCTTTATGCATGTTCATATATACCATACATACACACACACTTTTATTTGCCAATCAAAGATATTTGTCTGTCCTTGGATCGTTATCTATTAGCTGTCTGAGTGAATAGGGGTATCTTCAGTTATTACCTAAAAGCAAATGTTATGAGCGCCATTGGTGATCCCTTCAAAAGGAAATTTCTATTGCCATCAAGAAAGACCTCATAATAAAGATGAAAATATGGTCTTGGAAGACTTCAAGAATTTAAACTTAGAAACCTGCATTATTTAATTGGTCAGCAATATCTTAGCCTTCCATTTAGGGAGTTTTGTTGCCTCATTACTCCCCTGCTACAGATCTAGTCCAAGGCTGCTGTGTCAACATAATGAAAGCCCTTGGCTAACTAGCAGCGTGGTATGGGTGCAAATGAAGTAACAATTGTATAGATATGACCTAGTTAGAGAATTCTTGGATAAGAAATTTACTGATTATATTACTGTCTGCCTTTCAGTGTGGAAAAGGGGGTCTTGCTTCTTTCTTGCCAAATTCTTTTTTTGGCAGGCCTACTGTAGGTTTGAAGTGCAGGGCAGACAAAGTGTGCAGATAATCCTGACCTTGGTTTGACCAGGACTGCTGAAAGCAAAATTAGTTTGGGTTTTAAGCAGTAGGGTATGTCATTTAAGTCATAGATATGCTGCATGTGCCATATGTGGAAGTCATATGGATGTAGAACTAGTCAAGTGGGAATTGCATTTGGGGTTTCAGCTGATAACAACAAATCGTAGACTTTCACTGATTACAGAGTTGGAAGGGATCTTGTAGGTCTTCTAGTCCAACCCTCCACCCAAGCAGGAGATCCTACACTATTTCTGACAAATGACAGTCCAGCCTCTTCTTGAAAGCTTCCAGTGATGAAGTTCCCACAACTTCTGAAGTCAACTTCTATTCAATTGGTTGATTGCTCTCACTCTCAGAAAATTTAACTTATTTCCAGTTTGAATATCCGCTTGTTCAGTTTCCATCCATTATTCTTTGTCTGGCCTTTGGGTGCTCAACCCCCTCCTCTTTGTGGCAGCCCCATAACTATTGGAACACTGCTATCCTGTCTCCCCTAGTCCATCTCTTCATTAGATTAGCCATGCTGAGGTCTTGCAACTGTTAATTAGATCTTTTAGGACATGTGGGGGGGGGGGAATATATTTTCTGCCCTTATGTGACTTGTCTAGGTGATATCAGTGCTAAATATCAGTACCGTTTGATAGCACTAACCTGTCTTATGTTTATTATGTTGCCGAGGATTTTGACAAGTGCTCAAAACTGCTATGAATATTTGGAGCTCAGTAGGCTATCAGTGCTAAAAATCAATGCCGTTAGACAGCATTTGCCTGTCTTAACTTCATCTGTAATCTCCTAACTTAAGAAAG